AAGTTTTTCAAAATGTCATGAATAAAGCATTTCCTTGATTATAATTAAAAAAAAACTCTCCTTTGTACCTTGATTCCTTTTTTTTCCAGTATACATCCAACCCAAAATCGGACACAAAGCTGGCAGAAATTTTCATGTGTAGTGAATGGATGTGTAATACAGAATTTTGTGTCAATAATGCTGAGAGTGTTAAATGATGTCAGTACAATGCATGTTCCCTATTACTGCAGGCTTTACCCTCCAAGAAGTTTCTGTAAATACCTGCAGATATTTATCTTCATTTTTCCTGTAGTATGCTGAAAAACTTTGTGTTGGTTTGGGGGCAGTTTGGTCTATCTTGCAACCTAGTGGCCAAGTTCATTCCAAAAGAAGTTCAGCTGAGTTGAAATCTGTATATTTGTACCAGTCTCTTGATTTTTTTTCATTCCCATTTTGTCAAATTACTTGGTTATAAATTTTGCTGTATGAGTGGGGGTGTACTGTCATTTTGAAAGAGAAATGCTGCCTCTTGACATTTAGAATTCTAGTTGCAAAACGTAGTACACCAGGAGCATATCAAGGGAAAAAAATTGCCAAAATGAGAATTCTTTTACTGCCGAAGTTCATAGAGGGAAAAACATATTCTGGTAAAAGTAGCATTGCCCTAGCTTATTACCCACTTTAACCTTTTCACGATGGCGAACCTTTGTTTAAGACGCTCATGCTGGACAGAAGGGAATCGAGGGCAGTCACCATACAGGACAGGCGTTTTGCATCGCTAAGCCTAATTTTATAAAAAAAAAATCTGAAAAAAAAAAGTTTCACTTCTAGCATCATAATCGTAATTTTTGGTATCATTTTAGATTATTTCTTGAGCTCTTATATGTATTAAACTTAGCACTTAATAACCTTTTTTCTTTGTATTACATGAAAATATACTTAAAAAATTTCTTATCTTGTAAAATAACTTTCGGAAGGGCTATTGAAATTATTCCAAAGTTTTAATTGATAAAATCCATCAATAAAGTCTAAAATTAATAAAACAACACAATAAAGACTACAGTAAGAAGTAACAAAATTTAAAATGAAGACTGTGGTAAATCTCGAAGCACGGAGAAGTATCACTTTTTAACTCTTAGAAAATGTATCACTTTCTTATTCTGTAGAAAATGAATCACCACTCTCATCTGTGTTAGTCAATAGTTCATTAACCATATGGATGTATTCTTCCTCTGATAAATAGTGCCTTCCCACCATAATAGACTTCTGGTGAGGTGAGGCTTTCTGAAATAAAAAGAGAATAAACGAAAGTATATCTGAAGGCAATGCAAAACGTAACATAACCATACATAGTAGAGGGAAAAAATAGAATAAAAAAAGGAATTGGATATAAATCAGACATGTGAATGTTTATATTAGCATGCCACGATTTAAAGAGCCCACCTCTGTTTGCGCTTTCCCTCCCCCCCACCTTCGCAACAGTTGATGAGTAAAATACCAAAGTCAGGCAGAATATATCAAACTCAAGGTCAGGAACCTAAAAGTGTTAATTTCATAAGTAATGGACATATGATGCCATCTAGTGGTCTTCAGAAAAACATTCCAGCTTAAAATGCGTATACGCATGACTCGTCCTCTGAATGCAATCTCTAGTGATGCATGGATGGGATGTCCGGCTGCAAGAGACGTTCTTAGGGAATGTGTATATGGGACATCTGTCCAGAAAAGGTTAAAATGTCAACCAGTTGGATGCCAAATTGTTAAAGCTAAGAAATTCTGGTAGGTTGTCTTGGGTCAGTTCATGGCAATTGAAAGAACTGGCTGCATATGTTTTCTGTGATTTTACTTCTCAGGCTTATATATATATATATATATATGCTGCTCATGCTTTACTGCTCATGCTTAAGGTACACCTTAGTAACTTTCTATGGAAAGTACGCTCATGATTAATAAGCATGAGCTTATTTCCCATGGAAAATCCTGTACTGAGGCTCACCTTTCCATATGCTGAGAGTTATTTGTCTTGTTATATAATTTAATAATCCATTTCAGTCCCTTTTCAAATGCTATATGTCAGTTTTATTTGCTTTTGTTTTTTTATAGTAATTATTCAATATTTAAAAAATTTAATATCTGTCCAGAAAGATATTAAATTTTTTACTTCCAAATTAAGCTAAACCTACAACACTTAGTGCAAATGATTGAATGTTTTGATTAACAAAATAGGGTCTTATTGCTTCACACATTGTGCACAGAATAGACCATTTAAGTCCTTTCTTCTCTTATCTTCCTCTATGGTTTTAGCATTATTTTAAATCTATTCTTCTTTCAGTGGCAGAACTTTCTTATTCCTTTATATACACAACCCGACACTGAAAATGCAACACCAAATTAAGCAAATTTCCGGGTAGATGCATGTCACTGAGTTGTGCGCATGATGTGAAATGCAGAGCTGTTTAGCATACGTTGAAGAAGGTGTAAGGGAAGGAACCTGCAGAATGTTCAGTTTTTCTGCCACTATTTGCTGTTAGAGAAATCATTGTAGAAAATTTGTTCTTATCTCAGAGGACGCGTGTAACAGCGGAGAATGCCTGACCATCATGAATGGAGGCAGTTCCAGCAGACGGACGATTTTACAAGGGGCATGGTTATCGGACTGAGGACAGTATGGACCATATAGGAAATCTCAGTTGACACACACCTGGATATGTCCACAGTGCACCAGCTGTGGTGGCAGTGGTTGGAACAAGACAATGTGGCAAATTTGATGGATACTGGTGCAGTTAGAGTGATGTCAACACGCGTGGATCGATGCATCTACTGACAGGCTGTGGTGCACTCGCAAGCTACTTCTACCTTCATTTTGCAGCATGTTCAAGATACTCTGGATGTTCCCATATCGACCAGAACCACTTGCCATTGATTAGTGGCCTGCATTCATGGCATCCGTGAAGAAGATCGCCATTGACCCACATCATGGACACCAAAATCAGCAATGGTGCTGGGCTTGAATGATGTGGATGATGGAATGGCACAGGGCCATGTTCTCAGATGAGTCGCACATCTATTTCTCCAGTGATGGTCACTGCGTACAAGTGTGCCGTCGATCTGGAGACATGTCCAATCTGTCAGCAATTGTGGAACACCCCATCGCGCAACAGTGTGGCATCATGGTTTGGGGTGCAATTGCATATGATTCCAGGTCATCTGTAGTTCGTATTCAGGACCTATGATGGCCCACCGATACGTGGATGATGTGCTATGACCGGTGACACTTCCCTATTTTTAGGAAGTGCCCATTGCCCTTTATCAGCAGAATAATGCCTGACCACGCACTGCTCACAATATGTGATTGGACGCCATTTGCAGACCCTGCCATTATCGCGTTCAGAAGAGGAACTGTGGCAAATGGTTGCCAGGGAATGCAGAGCCATTCCTGAGGACACCATCCATAGTCTCATTGACTAGCTAGACGTGTTACTTCGTATAGCATTGTCCAAAAAGGTCCTACAGCATTACCGAGCTGACGCTCTTCTCGCTCTGTATGATGCATATCGTTCCGAAATAAAGATCACTTATTGTTTTTTTTGCTGTCTCTCTCTGTATGCCTAGTTTCATCACTTTCTGGACACTCCTTGGCATTGCATTTTTAATGTTCGGTAGTGTATTTTGAAGTTGTAAGATGGTACAGATATCTTTGTGAAAGGCAAGCATCTCGTTTCTTGAAGTGTTCTCAAACTATGTGTTTTATTGCTGCTGCTTAAAAAAGGTTTTCAGTAGCTGTGCTAAGGCTTGAATGAGAAATGATATCTGCTTGACAAAAATCATGTAAAGAAACTGATTTTTCTCTCATTAATGCAGAACTTCTTTTTAGAATCAGATTTATATTTTATCTTTCATATAATAAGAGCACATATAAAATATAAAGCTCTATCAGTCTGCAAAAAGACTGATATTTTTACCAAATATCACCATGGAGAGAAAAATCGTCTTGCATATAAAGTATGGTCTTCCTTCATCTACATTATTATTTTGAAAAAACAAAAAGCTATTTGTTTTTGAAAGGACGTAATGAATTCTAAAATATTGAAAAATAGTGAGAAAGAAGATCGTGATAAAACTGTGTTATTAAAAATCATGGAATATTTGTCTTTTGTTGCTATAAAATTTTTAATAAAATATAGTTTTTCATGCAGAAAGCATACTTTAAATATTTTGTAGCTTCATGTTAGCCAACAGTGATGGTTATCTGGCTGCCGTTCACTGCAGTTTTATACTGGATAATTATTATTCTGCTATTAGGTAATAGAAATTAACATAGCAGGTGGCTAGTGGCCTGCGCTCATAGCATCCATGAAGAAGACTGCCACTGACCTCACATCATGGATGTGCAATTGTGTTGGGCTGGTACATATTTTTTTGTTATTTAGATTATTTCAAATAGAATACAAATGCAGAATACTTGCTATTTATGAAGAGACATCTGATTAAATTCATAGTGCAAGATCAAGTTCTCTCTTGAAATGGGTTATGGTATTTTATTTAAAATGATTGCAAAAGCATTTTCATTTGCTTTTAATATTCTAGATGGCATGTAATTTCCTCTTTTCTTTCATTTTATTTTAAGGTTGCTTTTTGATTGAACATGAAATATAATATGAATTGAAAATAATTTTTGATGTTTCTAAAACTTTCATACCTGAAACCAAACCAAAACTGGAAATTTGAGGAATTTCATTATAAATATTATCTGATCACTGATTATTTGAATATGAAAAAATAACATAGAGGAAAAACAGAACACAGAGGATAAAGACGCATGTGTTATTTTATTGTGAAAGGAAACATGAAGATGAAATTTCAAATTTTATTCATGACTGTTATTCATGTTAGTTAATTTAAGCTGAAAGGATAATATGTTATTCATGTATCTGAAACATTTTGCTGTAGATCTGTATATTTTAAGAACGCCTTTTCCTTCATTTAGTAAGTTATGTGTTTAAAAATATATGTTTTTTCAGGCTGACTCAGCCATAATTTTTGAAAGATTGTCCCACTTGCAAGATTTCATGTCAGAAGCAACAACATTATGTGAGGAATTGGATGATCCAGTATGTATTATATTTCTGGTTACTTTATAATGAATTTCAAGTTTACTCTACACATGTTAGCTGAAACAGAGTAATTATGCAGTATTGGTAGTTGGTTATGGCAAAGAAAATGAAGACAGTCTACTTTGGAAGTAGACTGCTTTAGTGTAAAATTCTGTTGGCATGAAGCCTATGTCTTGTTTATTGAACCCTGGGGGAGGGGCTCTTATGCAATTGTGATTTCTGCTGGAACCAAACTTAGAAGCTTCTCCAAACAGTATAATTTTGTATATAAAACAAAATAACTTCTATCCCTGATTACTGATGAACATTATTTCATTATTATTCTATCCTGATCATTACATTAGGGTATGAATACGAAAGACTTTATTTAATAAAAATTTAAGCTGTGTAAGGAAATATGTAATCATATTTTTAAAAATATTAAAAAAGGTTTATCTTTAGATGCTTATTTAATTCAATAAGGGGATCAAATACCAGTATATTTTCACACTGAAACTTTTAAAAGAGCATAAAGTAGCTTCTTTATCAACCCCAAAAAAGTTAACAGAAAAATCAATAGAATGTGTATGAAATAATTATTTTATGCATTATATTTGAATATAAAAAAAATGCAACAGAAATCATACAAAATATTAAAAACATGTGTTATTCTGCTTTTCCTTTTAAACAATTTTTTTCTTGTGTACTTTTGTGGTATTAGATTTTCTTTTTTAATTTTGTTGAAATTTTAATCAGGCAAGTAGGGGAAATTAAATGAGGTGGGGTTAAGGTGTCTGTTACAAGAAGTACTAATTCTTCTGAACTTAATTTATTAAATAATTTGTGTATGCATTTTGGTATTGTGTACTATCTTTTTTTTTTTTAACATGGAAATTTTAGGCTGTCAGAGAGCAGTTCAGCAAACTAAATGAGGCTGTAAAACATGTTGCAGATGAAGAGAGAGAGAAGGATGGACTTTTATCTCAGTTGGTAACTGGAAATTTTGTTTTGGCGTTAAACTTTATTTCAGTTATTTTTTTTTTTAATATGTGAAATAAGAAGTAAATAGTATCAGTTTTTGTATATCTAAAGTTTATAAAGAGTTCTTTTATTTTTCGTTATTATTTAAGGTATCTGATAATGGTTGTTATTCTGCTACTGCTGGTGTATCTCCATCATCCTCAACATCAAAAGCATCTAAAGGAAAAACAGCACAGAGGGTCACAAATGGAGTAAGTTACTTAAACTGTACTGTTTATGCCATTATTCTGGGACAAATTTTGAAACAGTAATGCTGTTCCTTATCCTTTTACACTTACAAGCTGTGCACAGAACTGATTCCAGGGTACAAGGGTGTTTGTGCTCCGGGGATTTTGAACTTCGATACCCGGAAATTCCGGGGATCGTCGTTCAAAAGGAAGTAGGAATAATAATGAATTATTTATTTTGATCTGGGTAATTTTGTTTGCTTTGAAAGTAGAAAACGCAAGGTCAGTGTGTGTGGTGAAAACTCTTCCTTTCTTTCTCCAAAGGCAGTGATAATGCGTGAAAAGGGGGAAAAAAACTTCTTTTTTGTTTTTTCCTTATGACTCATTCCCCCGGTTCTCGGACATTCTCTTCTGGATTCTTTTCGGCAAGTAGGCGCGGCAGAAAAAGGAAGGGAGAGACTTCGTTCGACCAGATGTGCGATCACGTGACTCTGGGTTCAAAGGTCTTATCTCTCCTGGCGTGGCGCCAATAAGTAGAGAAGGGGGATTTTTTTCGTCCGTATTAGCGTTTGTCATTGATCGCTTCTCTCAACTTTTTTTCTCCGCTGTGTAAAATTTTCGTTTCATTTATTGATGCACGTGTAAATTTTTCGTTTCGTTTATTGAAATATTTTTTTATTTATGTACGCAAGAGAATTTCACTATGAAATTTCTCGATATAAATAGTGATATTATACAATTAGAAGAAGGTGTCCGGAATGCATTTAGGTGGAATTGGATTGAACGGAGAGATGGTAATGGGGATACCATCGGCACATGGTGCAAGAAAATAAATGTTGCTGGACAAGCATATTGTGTTTTTTTGTAACTCACTGCTGAAGTATGGTGGGGAAGGATTCAAGGCTTTCACAAAATCATTCTAAAACTGTGACGCACATAAAATATTCAAAGTGCATTAGACATTCAATGACTTTAAGTAATTATGCTAATTCAAAAAAATACTGATGGAGACTGATGCTCGGCCATTGGATATAGTGACAAGAAAAGCACGCCAAGAGGTATTAATAACTTCGTTTATCGCCGAGAATTCTCTTTCTTTCAATGTAGCTCCCAATTTAATTGAACTCTGCAAACAGTTGAGCCGCGATCAGACGGCACTAAACTCGTTGGAAATGTCCAGGACTACTGCATGTTATAAGATGAAATATGGGCTCGCAAAAACTATTAAGGAAAATATCATTAAAACTTTAAAGGAGACTCCATTTTCTCTAAATTTGGATGAAAGTACTAGCAATGCTCAAGAAAGTATACTGGCAATATTGGTGCAGTTTTATGACAACAATCAAAATGAAGTTGTAGTTCATCATTTTGCATCTCTAAAGATGGAATCTTGCAATTCAGAAGCTGTTTTTAAAGCAGTTGTTAATACTATTGAAGATAATAATATTCCATGGGCAAACTTAATTAGTGTATTAATGGACTCGTGTAACACCATGCATGGAAAAAAAGGGTGTTGAAACCAGACTACGATCAAACAAAGCACCCCACTTATTAGATATTGATGGTGACACATGTCACACAGCTAATAACTGTGCAAAAAAATTTGCTTCATGTTTTGATAGATACTTAGAAGATTTGTTTGATGACATCTATTTTGATATGAAAAGCTGCAGTAAAAGAGAAAATTTTTTCAAAATCTGTGAATCCCTTGCCATTAAAAAACTTAAGCCCTTGAAGAGACCAGACCATAGGTGGGTGTACATTTTATGTGTTTTAGAAAGAATCAAAGATCTGTGGGATGCTCTTATTGCATTTTATTTTCACTACTTGGATAAAACTAACTGATAAATGGGGATTATTTTTTCTTATGTTGAAACTGTATACAATAAAAGAAATATTTCTGCAGCTCAGAAAAAAATTGTTTGAAGGGGTGTATTCTTGCTTGCATTCCCAACAACTCACAAAGGATGCTTTAGCTCGGGAAAAAAGAATACTAAATGGGTTATTTGTTATGCAAAACAAAACTTTATTGCATATGGCATTATATTCAGCAGTATTACCAGAGTTCAACACATATATTAAATTATTTGAAACAAAAAAAAAAAAAAAAAAAAACCAATGCTTCATTTAATACATTCCAGTATTTATAAATTGATGGCAAAATTTTTCTCTTTTTTTATGAAGCCAGAAAATATAGAGTGCACATCTTATAATGATTTTTATTAAAGGTTGATGTCACAAATCCAGAATTCCATCTACCTAGCAAAGTAATATTTACTGGTGCAGAAGCTTCCACTCTCCTGAAGAAATTATCAAAAAATCATCCAATAGCAAAAGAATTCCAAATTTCTCTGATGAAAGCTTATACTAATACAGCACAGCATATGAAACAGAAATTACACCCTTAAAAATTCATATCTAATTAGTTTTACAGCATTAGATCCAGAGCTAAGAGGTAAAACCAGTACAATATTAGCTTTTGAAAAATTATCATCTTTTATGTCCCATATTTTTAGTGATAATGAAAAGTCAAAAGTAGAAGCTGAAATAAGGTTATACCAGAGTGATATTGATATCACCAAAGAAATGCTCTACACATCTGATGAAAGTGGAAATCAAGTCAAGTGTACAATTGATAAATATTGGTCTAAAGTTTTTAATTTAAAAGATGATTTCACAAATGATTATAAGTATCCTACATTGGCTAAATTGGTCAAAGCCTGCCTTAGCTGCTTCCATGGCCCATTAGTGGAAAGTGCATTCAACTTAATGGATACACTTGTCACTGACTATAGAACCTCTCTTAAGATTGATTCCCTAGATGCAGTGCAGACTATTAAATATGATTTAATGGCTTCTAAAGAAACCTCGTGAAAAATATGGCTCAAAAAATCCAATGACTGATCCAATTCACAAAGATCTCTTACTAAATATGAACAGAAGTTGGAAAACATATCAAGAGGACTTAAAAACATGTATTTCAGATGAGTCACCTATAAAAGTCTATGAAAAAAACCTTCTACATTAGCAGAAAAGCAAACTGCTTCTACCTCTGCATGTGCAGTTCTCGAGAAAATTTCTTCAACTGTAAATGAGGAAAATAAAAGTCAACCTTCCTGCAATTATGAAGTTCACCACAAAAGAAAGACAAGCCCACAAACATCAGAAAATAAAAAAAAGCAGCAGAAATTAGATTATTTTTTTTAAAGAATTAATTCAGGTAATTTAAAATGTTTACATAAAATGTAGTAGTTTATATGTTTGAAAATTTATGGTTATTAATTTTGCAAAAAAAGTAATTCATTGAACTTTTATAATTAGGTCATTCAATACTTCATAATTGTAATTTTTCATTTCTCTTCCCCCATTCTTGAAACTCCAAAATGTTGGTAGTAAGTTCGTAAAAGTTTCAGGGGATTTTTTGGGGTCCCACAAACACCCCTGAGGGTATTAATTTCCATAAAAGTTGCTTTATAAGGAAAATTTTACTGAAGTGTTTTAACATGAAAACTGATTTAACACAACATTCTGGCATTAGATGGTAGTGGTTAATTATCATAATTATTATTCTTTTAAGTTATGAAAATTCATATGATATGTATCATCAGTCTGCATTTATGTGTACAGTGTTGCCAGTTCTTTACATTACATCTGGTAGTCTCCTGTTAAATCTCTAAATCTCCCAGGTTTTAATTTATTTAAATTTAGGTTGTATCTCTTCGGATGTAGCTCTAGAAGAATTAAGAGTTGAAGGAAAAAAAACAACATGAAATTAATTTTTGTGTCAGTCTTAAAAGGGTTAAGACAATGCATTGGTCATTTTTTAACAAAAATTATGTATATTCCATCCCCCAATGGTTTTCACTGTAATATTTCTGAATAATTTTGATAGGACATTTTTTGAACACTTAATTCACTGATTAATTATTAATTTTGTGTTTAAAAGCACTTTGCTATCTTTCTTCCTCCAATTACAAAACTGGGTGAAACTTGTTAAAAGATATTAAAATTGAGAATAATGAATTAAATATTAAGTTAGTATTTTTATATCAAAATAATAACTATTTTAATGCCCCATATGTATTGTGAAATGACTTTAAATCAAATTTATAATTTGGAGTCTTTTTTTTTTTTAAATTTGCTTCATCATCCTACGCCTGAAAACTTTCTTTTTCATATTTTAAGCACAAATTGTAAATTTTTGTAAATTGTAAGCTTTTTAAATTACTGGCTTTTTAGTAAAATTTCAAATTAAACCAGTTTACTAGCAGTTTAATGATATTCCCCCTTTATAAGATATTTATTGAAAATATGAGTAAATACAAAAATAGGTACTTTATTATAAACTTCATAAATTTCACATATTTTTATGGTGTACCATTATTTAATGCCAAAGTCAAATTAAGAATTGGGATGTTTTATCATGGGGGGATCAAAGCGCATGCATAAAGCATAAAAAAACCCTAAAAAATGTTGGAGGCTTTGAGTTCCAGATTTTAGATCATTCCTGGTATTGGACGTCCGAATCTAGGGCTTTGTACTGTACATTTTCTGTCTGTTGGAGGTTTTCCTTCTCATAAAATAAGTGAGCTGAAAATTGCTGTCACCTGGAGGTTTCTGCATTAGAATTGCCCCATATCATTCTAGGCTGGTGTCTGTATGTAGCTCAATATCGTAATGAAATGCTATAAATTGTTATAAATTGCGAGTACAAGCTTCTCAGCTAATGCTGACTTCAAACAAGTGAATGTGATCCTTTGTTCTTCACTTAATTTATCACCCTTTTTTAGCAGGTCACTAAGTGGCTTGGCAGTTATAGAGTATTTAGGAATGAAGTTTCTGAAATATGCAGTTAACCCGAGAAAACGTTGGACCTGCTCTTAATTAGATAGTTCAGGGAAATTTGGAACGGCTTGCATCTTCAAGATGGATGGGAAAACTTTACCCTCTTGTATGATTTGGTCTAAAAAGTCAATTTGTTTCTTTAAGAACTGGAATTTTTAAAAATTTATTTCTAACCCATA